GCTGATTCTTCCAAGTTAACTCTATTTTAAAGGAAATCCTAAAAAAAGAAATCTTAGTTAAACATTCGACAGTTTTAAAATTATTTCATCACTATTTTATACTCAGCCAATTATTTTCTAAAATATTTTCTAGAATGAACAGAAACGCAGCTGTTTATTAAAATTTCCTAAGAGGGCAGGAAGCAGTTTCCTAACTAACCAGATAAGAACAACAGCCATGTTAGAATTCTAAAATTACTCAAACTTTTTGAAAAACTACCAAACAAAGCAACAAATTTCAAACAAGAATATCTGATTGTCTCACAGGCAGGCAATCTACTTAAATTAAACTGATAGGAATACTGTTTTCTGCAGGGAAAATAAATTATTTAACAATAACTGAGCTTTAACAGCTGACTAAAAATTTACCATCATAAAAGTTTCTGTGTTGCAGACAAAATGACTGAATTCCGCTTATGCAATTACTCTAGATGTATCAAAGCTGCAAAGATCATGACATGGGCAATGAGAATATCCATTGTGAGGACTATTTATCTACACCTTCACAAGTCTTCGTCCCTCCCTCCCCGCATTTTTTAAATGCTAGTGAAATAATGACCCCCAATGAAAGTATAAAAGTATTACTTGCAACAAAGCTGAAACTTCCCTGTATAGCTTTTCTTCTTCCACAAATGCATGAACCAAGAAACCACATTTTCAGCTAGATGACACAGTTACTTATGCTCACTTGCTATATCATCATGGTCCTTCCTGTACACGTTCCCTTCCTTTCCCTGATAACATTTGCCGAGGACAGCTCTCTCTTTTCCGCAGCATATTCCCTTGTTTCCAATACAGAGCTCAGCTAGTACCCCATTCACTGACTTTACTCCTACTCATCAAAAAACATCTACAATTCCAAAGGAGCTCTTTGCTTGTCAAATAATGATAAAAGGAATCAAATTTCGGACTTCACAGGATTTCTCCAAAAAACTTTCAGATTTTGTATTTTTTTCCAGAAATACAATTGGATTTTATTATGCTCATTACGATATTCAAAACTAGATCATTATAAGTGAAATCGTCACATAAAAACAATTAAAAAAGTTAGTTTTAACAAACTAACCAACCAACCGAGTTTTACTGGAAACAAAAAGAAACAGCTACTCAAAGGAGGCATATGCAGTCAATCTAACAAGACCTGTTTAAGTTTTCAGTAAAAAGAGAGTATTTTTCACTAACATTTGTTCACTAAAAAGTTAAAGGCAAAAAAAAAATCACTTGACTGAAAACTTGGCTGTAATTTTTTAACAGAGATCTATGTTTTGACTCAATTTAACTCAGCAGTGACCTGAGTTTCCAAGTTAGCTTTTGCATTTATTAGCTTTTATCAAAATGATTCTTCTTCTTTTATCAAAATGACTCACTCAAGTCCTCCTCCTCTCCTCCTCATTTTATCTTTAAAAGGTTTTCTATCCACGCCACCCACTTTTCCCTGACCACTACTGGAAAGTATTTTAATCACAAATGGCAATCTTTTCATTCCATTATTATCTAAATAGACACAGCAACAAATTTGTGGTTAGGTTATCATTTAGTTCAACATCCCACAGGGCCCTTGGACTATTAATTGAGAATTTAAATGAAAAATTTAATGTACATAATCATCACCTTGGTAGCATTTTCACTGCTGTAATTTAGGGCCTTTTAAAAGGCTATAATGTTCATAAAACATTATACTCAGTTTGTGAAGAACTTGACATGCTTACGTTTAAACTGAGTAACTTGCCTGGTTTTGAAATTAAACCTTTCCCCTTAACATGAAACACAGGCCACTCAGTTACAATTTCATTAGACAGATTCCACAGTCCTATCAACTCAGTCAAACATAAGACACAACATGCTACATTCAATAAGTTGTTCCAGAGAAATTACTGAAGCCTGATGCAGCACAGACATACCCAGTGGTCCTCAAGCCATTCTTTTAGCGTTATTCTGATACCTCTCCATAACACGCAGCATTAGTTATCCTTAGCTTCCAAGACATCTTTGATCCCTCTGCATCTTGACGCACCAAGTCCTGCCTCCAGACATGCCCGAGGCCACCCAACACAACCTTCTCTACCTACCAGCTGAGTAAGAGGCAAGCACACAGAGGTAGGCATGTATTTACTAGCTGGTCAGCAAGTATTTGCTGATTGAATGGCAGACAAGCAAAGGAGCCTAATAAGTTGCCCTTGTGCAATAGCGTTTACATCTATGACGACTCTAATGTGGGTCTCCCCCCTCTTCTTGTCACTGATTCTCAAAAAAAAAAAAGAAAAAAAAAAGAAAAAAATTTAGTACCTCTAATTGCAAGTCTCCAGGTGGTTCAACAGTTATTGGAAAAAACAGTGGAAACCATATTTTTTCATATATGCCTTTCCTAAAGAAGGCCCAAGGTTTTTTTTTTTTTTATTTGTAAATACTATCCTTTTGCTTCAAAGAGGAAGGGACTTTTCATAAAGCACATAAGCAATGAGATACACAAAACAGAATTCTAGAGACCTAAAACATCCTATCTGTGCTAATAAAACTTCATTACAGCAATGCAAGTTTTTAGACACCATGATGTATTACTATTTAATTCACAATAAACTTTGAATGCAAACACCACATAACCTTATCAACATGTGTTTAACGTGTGTATATTTTACATGTTCCTCTAACAGCCTCAATCCTAAAGGCAAAACGTTTCTCAGAAAAGCTACATATTGAAATGATTTGCATGGTAACACTACAGTATAAAAAAAGTCCTCAAGATATTATTTTTACTCATATTATCTTTTATTATTTCATTCCATAATTATGTATGAAACTCATAAATCCCAAGTAAGCAGTATTTGCTTTTGTTCAGTACATTTCTACTACTGGTTTTATAAAATAAACTCCAGAAAATGAATGTGCTTTAAAGACACGCGAATTTCCAAAAAATTATCCAAAAAATCTATTATTATTATTACTAGATTCCTCACAGTAGGGTCATATAATACTTGGCATTTCTATACTAAACAGCTACACCACCCTGTGGAGAAAAACAGGAACAGGCACTTTCAGAAGTTCTAACTAATACCAAAAACAGCTTAAAACTTATTAAAAGTATTTCATTTTCAAAATTGAGTTGCTTCTGACGTAATTTAGGGCTTACGCTACGTAAAAGATCATGAACTACTGAAAAACACAGTAGGGTTGCTGAATTATCAATGTTTTGATAATATCAGGATTGCAACTTTTTAATTATTTTAGATGGTATTGTCAAATAAACCTTCTAGAGGAAATCTTCCAAGCTGTCTTTAACTAAACAACCTCCAAATAAAACAGACCAAACAGCGTTTGATTAAGAGAAAATATGGTATTAATGTTAATGACAAACTGAATGAAAAAATATTTTTGGTAATAAGATCAGGTTTATTCTTACCAGTACATCATGCACTAAAGCTTGGTATGTCCAAGTATGATGTAGAGGAGTTGCTAAATCTATGTTTCTGTCAACAAGGACTAATAGGGGCCTTTGGAAGCTGAAAAGATGACACTGCATTAGTACTTCTTTAAACATGTTTAGAACATTCCAGTAACATCCTGAGTGACATCAGCCACCTTCCACCTCAGATTTCAAGTTAAAAGCCAAACTGTCTCTACAGAGTTTCTCCAGCCTTCCCCGAAGCAACTGTGGCTGACCACTGCCAGAAATTTCATGAATCACTGTCCTAGCAATGGTAAAAAGATATTTCTGTTTGTACTAAGTGAAATTACCACTGCATAACAGTCAGACAAAAGTCAAAACACCAAGCAGTAACTAGCCGTTCAGGTATTAGTTAACAGCTTTCTGGTGCGGATACATATTTGAATTCTAATCAACAGTGTTCCGCTAAGAGCTGAAGTGGGTCACATTCAACCTTAATCCTCATTATGAACCTTAAATATAAAATCTCGCTCTCAAGTGTTTTTCATTTCATTTTTCCTGTTTGCTTATATAGGAAGTCTATAAAGAAAAGATTATGAACTTCTGAGATGCACTGTAATGACTTCATCAATACTCAATTTTATGGAAAAAAAATTTCAGATGAGCCTAAATATCTTGGGGTATGGTTACATAAACAATTTATAGTGAAGACAGAAACTATGAATTTACAGAACATTACTGTAACTATCCCATAACACACATTAACCCCACAGTAAATGTGATAGCTAAATTACAGTGCATTTGAAGAGAATAAAAGCATGCTAATTCCACAAATTAGCAAAATTCTGGTTTTCCTTGCCATAAGTACTTTCATGGAGATGAAAACGCTCAGGAGCCTTATTCACCTGCCCGTATCATTCTGAAAAGCAAATTCAAGATCTGAAGCCACTTAAATGGTTAAAGGTTCCCATATTTTTCTTTTTTTGCATCTTGCTTTTCCGAGGGTAATGATGCTATATTGTAAGAAAAAATCAGCTACCCTTTTTAAGGAAAAACAGTGGTTACAATTCAGCTCCCGTGAAATGAGGGAACTGGGATTTCACAGCTACTCGCTCTCCTTCTACTTTCTTACAGCATTCAATCTCACTTTATTTTGCCACACTTTCATATGTTTTCCTGTCTTTTGTCAAAGTGCTCTCTTGATTTGAGAAAAAAATACCGTGTAAAGACTATTTTATACTCAGCTAGGAGATCATAACCATTTATTTCAGCTACAATCTTGCCAATAGTTCTCCTTACCTTTTCGTGTACAGTGTAAACTACCATAATACCCACCCCCGCCCAGGTAGCCTGTGGAGTCTTCCTTAAGATCAACTATCTGGGGGCAAAGGGATGCGGGGGAAGCTACTGAGAACACATATTAGATGAATGGAAGCATCTGCAATGTCTTTTCCTACCGCTCCTTCCCTGCAAACAATTCAGATGTTGGTGACTTAAAATTTCTTAATTGCCTGATGATCCAAGTGGCAGTCCTTGTGTAGTCCTTGTGTCCTCTGCTTCTGGTAGAAGCAGAGATGAGCTAAGAGACACCTGTTCTTGATATAATTGCAATTGATAACAGTGCATACAAGTGAGAAGATGTGATTTTTTTTATTTTTTAATTGACTAAAGGATGTCAACAGATAAGTTCAGACACCCAGCTGCCTATTCTAGCCCTGTAAACCATGCATATTGGCAGGGACTTAGTTCTTGCTGAGTTTAGAGGTGAATGAGATTGCCTGCTTCTTTATAAATAATTTTTGACTCACAGCCTTAACACTGCATACTTCTTAGCTATGAAAGTTTTCAACCTGATTATACAAAGAGATAAGAAAACTTACTTAGAAGAACTTTGATTCTTTTAATACAAGCAAGCTACTCAGAATTTCAACCAAATCTTTGTAAATAGTTTTCAGTACAGTGATTTAATTCTAAAGAGATCTTTCAGACAACTGAAATATGAAAAATGTAAATACAAAGTTATTACTAACACCATACCTGAACTGGCCAGCTCCAAGTGTGTCACCTGTAAATAGACTGTTTCTGGCATCTCTTAGATTCTCTCTGAGCTTCTTATCTAATTTCTGAGGGGAAGAAAAACAAAGCAGCTTTTAACGATCACTGGTTTTCTAACGTTTTTATACGAACAATGTTTAAAGATTGACTGTGCTTTTTTTTTTTTTGCGGTGAATAAATCTGCAGGAAATTTAGGTCGACAGCATGCTGAACCCAGCCCGAGAAATCTCTTCCTCCTCCTTTCTCCCTCCAGCATTCTAGATCCAGGACTGTACAGTAGATACTTCCTTTATGTCCACTAACCACCCTCCCAGGCAATTAGCACCCTCTCTCTAAACACACGAACAAAAAACGCTAATACGAGGTACCAACAGGGAACCATAGCTCAAAAGACCTGCAGAAGCAGCAAATGGGCTGTCAGACACTGCCACAGTGAATGTTTCATAAGGATGAGACTACTGCTACTAGGAACACACGCACACTGAATACTTAGTTTTAATCAGCACAAGGCATTTTTTAATCATCATTTAGTTTGGCAATTTCATCTCTACTTGATAATCAAGTTTACTTTGATATAGTAAAGAAAGTCTTATATCTATAGGGTTTCCCAATAAGATAGCTAAAAATTTCTTACCCAGACACACAGAAAACCCCAAGCCATACAGCTGCTTTTCAGACAGTGTGGGTATAGCTTAATGGTTCTAACTATAATGCCTCTCAGAAAATTTAGATCATTCCTACTCTAGAGTTTATTATTCAGATTTAAGTTTCTCATCAGCTGACTCATAATATTCCTAATCCATAATATCACAATATCATAATATTATGATACTACAGTTTCTACAGATGTGTTCCATGGAACCGAAATCAGAGAGGAGAACTGGTTTATCTCCTTTCCAGTTTATTTCCCTCATTAAAAAAAAGCGTATGATGCCACTGGATCTCTGTCTGGTACTGAAAAAAGTAAACATGCTGTTAGAAAATTTTTAAAACAATGATACTTGTTTAGAAAATAAGTTCTTACCACAGCCACCATTTCAGCTGCAGTTCCTCTTGAGCATCTGATTATAGGAATAGCTCCTAACAAAAGAGGAGGTCAATTTTTTTAAGTGGACAATACAAATTACATTAAACTTGTCTCTTGCAGTCATTATCTATGAAACCAAAAAAACTCTATTGAACTATACTGAAGTTTTACAAAAGTAAATGAGTATCTCATGCAGGCCTTTGTAAGAAGTATAGCGTAAGTAAAAAAGATAGCTAATATACTGTGGAGGGGAAGAATAAACCTCTCATAAGTAAAATAATCTCATATGGAAGTGTTAAAACTGAACATTTCAGAACCTTAGAAGTTACTTGAAAATAACAACAAATTGTAATATAGCAATAACAACCAAACAGCGTTATCAGTTACAACTCACTGCAGGGGAATGTTCTTTTCTAAAAGACATTTTCCATTGGATTGCAGGTTTCAGTATCTTTAGCTGTTTCTGGCTTATGACTATAAAAATATGAAAATTGAAATACCATAGAGTTTAACTGGCTCAGTAAAAGAGATTTAATTTGTATCAAGCTAACACTTCCAAGAACTCAACAGGTTCAAAGAAATCTCTCCTGAACAGATTTCCCCATAGAGATTCCAAAGTCTCCTTGAGAGAATTCATTTTCAAACAGTGAAAACTGTTATGGCGAGTCAGTGAGTTTAGCATTTGAATGCTTTTAATTTTAAAACCAAGAAAAACAAACTACATTAACTGCAACACTAGTTTTAAGATTTATATATTCATGTCACTGCTTCAAGTTAAAAGTGACACTGATACATTGACATAATGATAAACGCAAAAGATTTCGTCTTTTATATTACTTTAAAAATGTTTTTATTTGTAGTTTTAAAACTGCAGTATGTTACAAAACAATGTAATACCTAGCTGGCAGCAAAAAACACAAAAAAATACACTTTTTGGTGGGAATTTCGGCTTCTGCCCGTTTTCACTACTGTATTTAAACTATTAAGTGGTGATATATGAGTTTCACCACCTAATGGCAGTAGATATGAACAACTACTGAGTAGCGAAGGAGAACTTACGTAGATGACACCAGCATGAAAATGTATGAGCTAACCATCAAGAAAACTCACAATAAACCAAATAAATGTAAGATACCTTTATACTCCTTAGCTTATTTCAGTTACACTGTTGCACAGTTTGTTTTAGAGGATTTTGCTGCCTTTTTTTTTTTTTTGGCGAGGCATAAATCCAAACTCAAAGCGCTGCTGATTTTCAGTGTAAACTAGCATTTTTGTAAAAACAATGAATTCAAAACCTCGCATTTCAGCAGTATTCTTCACCCATTGATCTTCAAGGCTAAGAGTCAACTCCTATGTAGGACGGACTTTATGTACAGCAATAATCTTGGCAACTCACACAGTGAACTATTTAAGACTTTTGCAACAAGTATACTTCCACCTTTCCTTGGTTACTTTAATCACTGAACTTCTAGGTATCTAACTAAAAATGCATCTCTTCTAGAAAGAAAACACATTGGAAATATGCTAGAATTTGAAGACTTACCAAGCGTAACAAAAAAACAGAAGAGACTATCAACAATAGTGTCCATTATTGTTTCCATTTCAGTGTCTGTTATATCTGGTCTGTTAATGGCTAAAACAATGAGGAAAAAGGTTAAGAATAGGGTTAAAGAAGCTCATAATGCCATGTTCATGCTGAGAAAGTGTTCCATCTCTTACCCAATGGCTGCAAATAGCCAAAGCTTCTGTTGACAAAGAGATCAAATGTGAAATGCCCCTTTTAGCACTTCCGTTACTTTCTTTTTTCAAGTCAGACATTTGGAGAACTTAACTACTACTCATTGTGTAAGGTTGCACAACCTTCCCCCCCACCCCCCACCCCCCACTCCCGCTCCCGCTATCTCTCACAATGCCTAGTACAACTTTTTGATTGTATTATCCTCACTGTAAGTAAAAACCTCATAGAAAACCATGTGTTATGAAATATGAATAGCTGTCCACTTGGAAACCATTTTTCAGATGTGAAATCTTCAAGAATTAGACTTTTGTATTTTTAAGAGAATTACAGTATGCTGTTATCTTTATTTAAAGATTCTAAATATCACCTTCTGCAATGGAGCTCCCATTTAAATTTTCTTAAGAAAAATGAAATTACTGTCAGTTTCTAGTCTAGGGAAAATTCCCTAAAACACTTCATGCTACAGAGAGAAAGATTTCCCTCTGCTGTTTAGGTCAGTAAAAGAATTGCTTAGCAACACTTCTGGCAAATAAGTAATACTGACAAGAACATAATAGCTGACAGGAAACATCAAATCTCATCTTATCACGGGTATCAAGACCAGCACTACCTCAGGACTCATGCTATAAATCCCCCCTCCTTTATTTTATATTACTTTTAAAAAATCTGTGAAGTAGTTACCTGTCTTATCCCCTTACCTCAAATAGGAACTTCACTGCTCAGAGCATTAATAAGCTTTCCATCCCAAATTTATGCATGGCCAGCCATAATCATTCTCTAACTTTAAGGGTGATTTTTTTCTCCCTAGCTTTTGTCCTCTGAAAACTTTACAGAGATTAATCATATTAGCAGTTTTTATTAGTAGCTAGATGTAACAAGTCACACTTATTTGGCTACTAGGATGACAACAGAAATAGGAGTGCTGCCCTCAGCACCTTTTTCATTCTGTGTTCCTCTTTCTTAAATGTCAGTACCTAGAAACGCGGACTGTTCCCAATACCTGCATTTTCCTGTAACGTCCAAGCTTTGACATTAACTAGGGTTATCGCTTTCTGTAGTTATCTCCAACTACTGGTCTCCCAGTTTATTGGGGGAAAATAATCTTATTTTTATTCTTGCACTATTTTCAATTTTAAAATTCCATTCCCTTCCTGTTATGTTCAAAATCATAATTGATGCTGTTCCAATACTCCACATACTATCAGTGCCTTCTAATTTTGTCTAAGATGTATATTATATGAGCACATTCCTTTTTTTGTACTATAGCAATCAACAAAAATACTTAATATGACTGCTTAAGTAAGACCAACCTTTCAGAATCTCATAAATATTCTTTCAGCAAAACATTTTATCAAGTTTTCCCTATATTCATCTCTCTCCAGCCTAACAAGCTTATTGAGAATGAAGCTATTATAGAAAGTGGGGTTAGGTTTTCCTCCATTTTCTTGTTATTTTACCAAATCAATACAAACGTATAGAAACATTTGAATAACATCCTCCAAGAACATCCACGTTACACCAACATTAGCCACTCTTCCTTCTACACAGTCACTGAAAAACAGAACGAGAGGGAGGCTGAGGGATCATCTAGTCTGTCCTCCCACCCAAAGAAGAGCTAAACGTATGTTATTTCCGTGAGTAACCAATTCCTAAAGGGCTTCCAGTGATGGAAATGCCATAACCTTTATAGGTAATCTATTCGAATATTTCACTATCCTTAATGTGAGAAAATTCTCCTAATATCTGACCAGAAACTTTCTTGTTGTAATTTAAGCTCATTACTTCTACTCCATTACTACATGGACAGAGAGAATACACTATCTCTTTTCTTGCTCTGAAAGCCTTTTACATAATTGAAGAATGTTTTCATGCTTTTTTTCCTGACATTACTTCTCTGTAAATGCAGTCATACAGTCAGCAAAACAGGAAACTGAAAATTAGCCTTCTTTGCTGTATTAGTGCCTAGTTCACCTACTCAGTTGAATGTGCGGCCACATGATCGCGCTGCCACAAGAACAGCAACCCTCTTTCAGCAGCAGATTCCCAGTGGCTTATACAGATTATGAAACTCCACACAAACTGGCAGTTTCCTGTTAGGGCCACTCTCAAAAAGGAGAGGAGACAACTTCTGCTTCGGCCACGCGTTCCTGCTGCCCCCCTGTGTCAGATCTAGAGCTCGTGCACTGAGATCGGCTCAGTGCTATAATGGAATATGCAGTCACTTCTGTATGGTAGGTTAGATTTCTGTTTGATCCGTTTTTAGTAACAGCCCACGTTTAGATTGGCTTAAACAGAGTGTGAAACCTCATGGTGTCTGGCAAATTTCAGCAACTCAGGAAAGGAAAGCAAAACCATAACTCATGGCATCTGATGGCTAAAAATGGTGTTCAGTCATTTTAATTCAAATTCCTTGTTAGCTAGCAGGAATCCTATGAGACCTGCTCAACTCAAGTATCTTTACGTACGCACAAATGCGTCACAAAAAAATTATTACCACAGCTCTTGACAACAGATGTTCATAAATGGAATAAAACCCCAGTGCGAGACAGAGCTTAGTAGTAGGGAACCAGTTCTAAAGAAGGGTACTGACTTTGGAAATTGGGCAAGAGAGGGGAAAAGCCCCACCGCTAAGTGTTAGGCACAGAGACTTCTCCTCTCTCTGCCTGGTCGTTAAAGGAGAGTATTCGGTGCATCCAACTAAATCAGGAATTAACTGTGAGGGTATAGCTAGACACTGTGACTACGGTGAAGAAGTTAAGAACGCTGTTAACGGATGGTTGTCTTCCCTCTGAATTGCACACGTTTGCAACTTTGCTGCATTGGATTTGTAGATCACACAAATGCAGGGTGAGCTGGTAATTTCTACAGAATGAGCCAACTAAACACACACATTCTGCAGCTGCAAAATTACTAACTCTGATGTAAAAGGGAGGCAAAGGTGAGGGAAATGACAGCAGGGGCAGCAAGACAACTCACCCTGCAGTAGCCAGCCATTAGAGTAAGAGGGGCAGTGGATGCAGGGTGATAGCTTAGCACACTGAATGGGTCAGGGAAGCACAAAAATCAGACCAAAGGAGGGAGGAAAAACCACATGGCTGCTGATGACCACTACTACATGCGCTGACTCAAGCTGCAGAAGCACTGTAGCCCACAGGCTCCTGACCTAAGGCTGGCATAAGCAGCCACACAGTTTTCCTGTTAGGTTCCAAAACAGGGGTGACAAAAGCCTCAAGATAAGGGAAAAAAAAAGAAAAAGAAAAAGAAGTTGTTCCATGAGGCTGACTTCGCCTGCAGCTCTCAGATTTCATGGAGAAGCTGACAAACAGCTCCTTGGTTCAGGTGCTCGTAGAAGCCATTGGCATTTCTTACTTTCTATACTCTCCTTCCCCAGATTCTTCCCTGCACTACTCCACTCCCTGATCTTAACCATCTCTCCTTTGCCTATCACCACATGATTGGATCCCTCTTTTCATGTCTTGACTGGGAAAAGCAGGTGCTGACTGGTTACTGTCTAGTAGGTACATACAACTCTTTATCGACTCAAAGTCATTCTTCTGGCTTTACCTTCCTTACAGTCACTTGATCACAACAGATCATTCACACAGATCCTTGAGAAGTGCAGAAGAGATATGACTAAACAGTAGTGCCTACACACAGCAGCCACCCACACTGTTTCTCTATATGTGTAAATAAGGAGAAATATTTCCTAAATAATTCCATGCATAAAAAGCCCTACAATCCATATATAAATCTATGCTACAACTTCCCTTTACTAAATTTTATTATTTGAAAATTAAAACTAGAATTTTTAAATGTTCAACAATCTTAGAGAGAATCTATATCTTAATTCTTTTCCTAAGTGAAAATATGTATTTACATTTCACTATAGCAATAGTCACATGGTAAAGATGCTGTATTTATAACCTAAGAACTGCCTTCTTCATGATTTTAAGCTACGCATCTAACAGATTATCCTGATGTCCGAACAGGTCAAAGATGAAAAAATATATGTAGATGGAGAGATTTGTGCATGAAATCTACATTATAGCACAGTAAAGAGTCTGGAATTAGAAAGTCAAATAGAATCATTGTTAGATATTAACCACAACTTCAGAAGTAAACACCAACTTTAGATATGCCAGTATAACTTTTGTACAAATAAATTTTACTTACCACGATATGAAACAAGCTCTTTGTTTTGGTTACACAATACAAACATATCATCTTCCAAAGTAATAAAATTGAGATACTGATCAAATACCTAGAAATCAAGGAACAATGATCAGAACAGTCCAGAATAAAGTATGAAATATCTATTTGTGATTTACTGGTACTGCTGTCTGAACCTCAGTGTTACAGAACTACATGTAAAACATTGTACAAACTAAAAAAGCCTGCGTAAGCACTGAGTGATAATGCAGAGTATTAGAAGCACTCCTGAAGAGTGCTCAAAGAAAATAATTCAACTTCAGGGACTTCTATGGATAATTTTTTTGTAGTCAAGCATCACTGAAAAAATACATATGAAGGACAGTGTAATATTATAGGTTTATTTTTTACCAGTATGAAGGACTACAACAAACAGTGCTGAGCTCTCAGTCAGGAGAGATGAAAGAGAGGGTAACACCTATACAATAAGAAATTACATCTCATACAGTTCCAAATTTTCTGTAAAATACTTGTACATTCCGGAGAAAAAAATGAAACCTCTTTATAGCATAAACTATGAATGGGATAAATAGATGTAATAAAGTTAGTCAACAGCATTACACCAATTTACCTCTGCTGAGGATCTAAGGCTTAAACAACATTAGTAGTTTTTCATTTAAATTCACAACTGTTTCTTTCTCTCACTCCAATAGTATTCCCCAATAGGGATGAGAAAAAGCAAACGTATTTAAATACATATGAAAATAATTATTTAATGATATGTAGCCTTGGTAAAGGTGTTAAACAAAAATGAGAGATTATATGCCAGACACTGATCTTTAAATCATAAAGGTCTAGGAGTGTAAAGTATCACAGTGTATATGTATGGAACATCCACCTCTACTGTACTTTGCCTCTTTAAAATGACAACTGCATTCATACATTGTCCTTGTATTTATGAGCTAAAAACTCCACACCATTAAATATGACTGGATGCAGTCACTGAGTCGGTGAGATCGGGAATGCTCGGGAAATACCACTGTATTTCCTCCCTTATCATTCACCACAAAGGTCTTGCAGCATTTGGACTTTTGACTAAGATGAAGTGTAGTACTAAGCAGCATTAGTGACATGACTGTAGATTCCCTTATTTTCCCCAATAAATCCATGCCTGTCACTGAATCAAGCTATATAAAAGAAAAAAAAATCATTTATTTTGTTTGTGATTCAGTCAGAAAAGCTGTGTGGCACAGAAGTGGCCAAACAAGACTAAAAGAATATCTGTAATGGCAGGATCTTTAATATTAGAGACCGTGCAATTTTCTTACCTTAGCCACTTGTGCTACTGCATTAGCACCTATGGCAGCGTTTGCAATATCTTCCAGTTTACTTCTTGAAATGGCAGAAATAAAGTTTAAATAATATGATTCATACAGCTGATTTCGAAGATCCTAAAAGCAAGGAAAATCACAACCTTTTTCCTGAATAAGTACTAATATATTTTTGAATAATTAAAAAACAGAAATACTTTAAAAAGGTGATGGTCCAGTATCATCACCAAATTAAATTTTCTGAAGTGCTTAGATGCCTAGTTCATACACCGTTGTATGTAGTGTTTTGACTGTAATTACTAAACAAAACATACCTCACATAGAACTACAAAAGCCAGGAAATTAAATTTAATCTACCAAGCAACAACTACTATTCCACGCATTACCACTGACAACAATTATCCTTGGCTATTTTTTCTTCCTTTGGTAAAGATATCAACTTTCCATCAACTCCTCCCACAGAATCAGAATTGCTGAGGTTGGAAAGGACCTAGTCCTATCCCCCTGCTCAAAGCAGGGTCAACTCTATCAGGTTGCTGAGGGCTGCGTCCAGCCAGGTTTTGAACATCTCCAAGGAGAGAAAGTCCACAACCTCTTGGGGCAACCTGTTGCGGTGTTTGACCATCCTCACATTAAAAAAGGTTTTTTTTGTTTTTCTGTTTAACTGAAATTTCCTGTATTTCAGTTTGTGCCCTCTTGTCCCCTCATTCCCAAAACTCACTCTCCAAAACTCCATAGATACATTTACTCTTCTACTCTCTGGGAATCAGACGTTTTCCACGTAAAAATGTTGGGAAATGTTTTTGTATGACACAGATTTGCTAATAAACAATAGAACACAAGCAAAGGTATGTTCAGACACGCACGGAAACTGGATACAGAACAGTCACGTTCCCTTCAGGGCAAGATTACTTCACACGCTCTCTCTCTCTGCTGTGTCTACTCATTTCAGATATTGAGCATGCAAGCTACCTGGCAGATTCTGTCAATATTTTCTTCTGTTGGCATTACAAAGTAAACAGCTGGAACATCTGGAATAGCATCCCGATCTGAATGTAAGAGCCTGAAAGGAAGAAAATAAATCTCTAATGTGTCCCTCTTTAGAGCTGTGTAAAATTGTAACGCTAAAGAGATCACTTATCTATATAGAAACAATCTAATTCCCTAGAATTTCTCCTTACATTTTATTTAATTAGATTTTAGTGAGAGCACAACATGAAAAAAATGCAAAATCGCATTTAATTTTTTTTTGGTAGCTGCGTATGTCAATGGAGAGCTCCAAAATTGATTAGAAAGTTGAGAAAAAGCTTCAAAAATCTTCAAGACTGATTATTCCATCCAAAGAGAGCTAAAACATTGCTTACAAAAAGTTCATATACGAACTGCTATTTGTTGGCCAATTTAAAGCATGACAACAAAAAAACAGTTTATCTTATATTATTAAACTTGCTTTTCCTGCTCTTCTAAAGACAGATAGGCAAGGTGCTAACATGTTCCTATCGCATTTCTGCAGATGTGTCAATATATTAAATTGAGTTTCAATTTCCAGCCTTCACTCAGCAAAAGTTTAAATTTTTGAGGAACCTAAAGGTATGTTCGAAGTGCCTCCACGGCTATTACCACAGCTACAGAATGACAGTGAACTAAATAAACACAATTTAAAGAAAGAGAAATCAGAAATCTCTTAAAATAATACTTAAACATTTCATATCTTTGACAAGATAGATTTAAAGTCTGTGTGTAAAAATGTATGCAAAGAGCATACAACAGTCCCATCAAACCACTTGTGCCAAAAAAATCTTAACATATAATGAATATAGAGGGATTTGTACAAACAGATGCCCAAAAAACCCTACAGGATAATTTTTAATGTTTGGACAGGGGCCTCCTGTACTGAGTAGAAAATCCTACCAAAGACTATGATATCACCAGTCCTTGATTCTTAATAATATCATTTGATTTTAGGAAAAAGTAAGGGTATAATCTTTATTTTAATAGTTGTCCATTAAATGATTTTTGGATGTATTGTTCATGACTTGTTGGGAATATGAGATAAACTTCTTTTATAAAGTCTTTTTTTTTTTTTTAAGTACTTACAGATGCAAAGTGATTCCCATATCTCTCAACTCTTTCACTGACAGCAAAGGTGAGATTATATCTTGGCCAAATCTGTCATAAATGAGAACCTGTAAAACAGACATGGCTATACAGATACACTCCTTCTTACAAAGCAGTAAACAGAGCGGATGAAGAAGCTCAGGTTTAAGGAACTCCTGCCACAACTTTGAAGATGCTAAACATTTTCCAATTTATAATAAATCATTAATTTATCACGGACTTCCTCTCCATTTGTGCTTACTAAGACAAAAAGAAAAAAAAAGAAAAGAAATTCAAAGATAAGTGGAAAAAAATTCATCTCTTCCTTCCGAAAAATGTCAGTCAAATAGGAATCAGTGGCTGTCGGCAATTTGTTACTCTAAGTGCAGAATTTCTCTGACTACATTTCGAGGAAACAGAGGCAGAAGCAGAGGGAAAATACAGGAATTAGTAATAAAAGACAACATAATAGATGAAGACATAGAATATTTGCTTTCTGGTAGCAAAAATTTCTTCAGAATCACATGCTATTTATTTCTTTAAAGCTAATGAAGGCAGCTTGAGCTCAGCTTATCCTAAATTTAAAGTTTTCAATAATTTTCCCTTTCTACAGGTTTCTTCTTGACTTTTGTGAGTACACCTGTAAGGTCTCATCTAAATTTATGCCAACAAGTTATCAATGAGACCTAAACACTTTTCAAAATGTTCTCCCTATTTGCTTATTAAAATATTTGCCTAAAGAATCAGTTAGTCTTTGGCTCTTTAAGTAACCAATTTTTCAAATATGTATCATCTTCAGAAATTCTAATATGCAATTTCTATATATTCATAATAGGAAAAAAATATTCTGTACAAGTTAAGAATATTAACCTAAATTTGATTTAGTTAAATCTGAAAATCTAAACTTTCTAGAGCACTGCAAAAATCTGCTGTTGCAGTTCAAGTAGTACTTACCTTCCATACTGGTTCTCCTGTGCTGTTTTTAACAGGAGGAACATTGAAGTTCAACATACGTTTCAAAGCCACTGGAAAGTAAGTAGAATAATGCTTTACTCTCTTTACACTTACACCACTTTGCACAACAACAGAAAATAAACACCTTAACAGGCATTAATGATAATAGTTCGTTTGGGAGGGAAAAACCCACAAAATATAAATACAAGCTACATTGTCTATTATTTTTTGGCAACTTTTGACTGACAAGTGACGCGTATCAGCTAGAATTCATGGGCTTGGGGAAACACTGCAAAAGGGAAAAAAAAGCAGGTCCCAACACATTAAGAAAGAATCTATTTTCTTTATTATATGGGCTGTACTCTGTCACAGTTTGCCTTGAAAAATAATTTCAGTATCTTTCCAAAGGGTGCACTCTGTACATTAAGAACTAGTTTGCTCCACCTTTCCCACCAAACTGGAACAACGCTATACCCACAAAGCCAAAAATACCTGTCTGCCTGACAACAATTTTGATGCACACACTGAAACATTTTGAGAACCTTTAGAAAACATCAGAAGAAATAGCTGCTCTGAGGGATATAAAAATTCCTCTAAGTCGCAGTAGGAAAACTCTTAGAAACACTAATTTGTTTTCATTTAACATTCCCATTCAACACAGGAAACGTGGCAGATTCCTTAAACTACCTCTAACTTACAAATCATCTAAATAAGGAGCCCTTCCTCATTTACCTGATTAGACAATACACAATGTTCTATTATCTCATCTTTGACTAGAAGCAAAAAAATATTTGTATCAGTACAAGTTTGTGGCTATTCTCTCCAAATTCATGAATAAAATCATCACAAACCTCACAAAGAGGAAAAATGTTCAGAAATCACAGCAATGTACACCAATTTGCTCATAAAGAGGTAACAGTAAAAATGGTTCTAACTCTTACACCAAATGAAGCTACTGAGGGTACTCAATGCAGCTCCCATGGAGTTCACAGGATCACAGGACAGCTCAGCCTGGAAGGGGCTCAGGAGGTCTCCAGTCCAGTCTCTTGCCCAAAGCTGGGCCAGCGGTAATGTCAGACCAGGCTGCTCAAGGCTTTTTCCAGGTGAGTCTTTAACGCCCCCAAGGATGGAGATGGCACAACTGCCCTGCTCAACCTGTCCCAGTGCCTTGACTGTCCATGCAGTGAAAAAGCATTTCCAGCTCGAACATCTCTTGTTTCAATTCACACTCAATGTCTCTCATCCTCCCACCATGCACCACTGGGACACGCCAGGTGCCTCCTCCTTGATGGCTCCATGGTAATGGAGCGCTGCTACCTTGGTAGCTTATGGGTCCCACCTAAGCTAGCCTCTTCTCCAGGCTGAATAAGCGCTGGTCCATCAGCCTCTCTTCACAGGGCAACTGTTCCAGTCCCCAACCATCTTGACAGCCCACTGCTGAACAGACTTCAGTTCATCAATGTCTTTTCAGCCCCTTGAGGGGCAACATTCTACATATGGTCTCATAAGTACAGAATAGCAGGGGACAACCCCTTCCCTCAGTCTGCTGGCTATGTTCCTGCAAATACGCCCCAGGATGCTGTTGTGTGGCGGTACGCTACCGACTATAATAGTTCACTGTCCACCGCAACCCCCAGTGCCTTTCCAGCAGAGCTGCCCCACTGCTTGGCAGTCCCCAGCCCGTGCTGTTGCAAGCGGCTCTTCCTTCCCAGGTGCAGGACTTTGCATTTGTCCTTGTTGAACTTCATAAGGTTCCTGCTGGCCCATTCCTCCATCCCATCTAGGTCCCTCTGGATGGCAGCCCTGCCTTCGAGAGTGTCAACTGTTCCCTCCAGTTTAGTGTCATCTGCACACTTGACGAGAGCGTACTCTGACATTTCCTCCAGGTTATTGATAGAGATTTTAAACAGGACAGTCTGCAGGATGGGCACCATGTGGTGCTACAGCTGCTACCAGCCTCCACATACAGTATGACTGATTAACCACTGCTGCCTGAGTCTGACCATCCAACCATTTTTTTTCTCATCCAACTGTCCATCCACCCAGACCATAACATCGTAAATTGGATGCAAGAACACAATGTCAAAAGCCTTGCTGAAGTCAAGGTAAATGACAGCCTCTGCTCTCCCTTTGCTCACAAATCCTGTCATTTTATCACAGGATGCAATCAGGTTGGTCAGGCATGATTTACTGTAGGCAAATTCATGCTCACCTTCTTAGGTGATGAGAAATATTTTCCAAAAGGACTTGCTCCATGATTTTCACAGGGGTCAAAGTGAGGCTAATCATTCTGTAGTTCCCTGGATTGTCCTTTTGCCCCTCTCTGAAGGGACAAAATTTGATTTGCTTCTCTCTAGTCATCAGGGACCAACCCTAGTCGCCATGACTCAAAGATGATGGAGGTGGCCTTGCAAGGACATCAGCTAGCTCTCTCAACATCACTGGATGCAGCCTATTGGCTCTAATGGACTCATACGGGTCAAGCTCTCCCAAGTAATACCTGCCTCAACCCTCGTTCACTGCTCGTAGTTCTTTCTGAACCCCTTCCGTAAGCACAAAGGCCTGTGAAACCCTGCTGGTGAAGACTAAGGCAAAGAAGGTATTTGGTATCTCAGTCTTATCTCTGTCCCCTGGCACTAATCACCCACCCCAGTCAGTGATGGTCTCACATTTTACCTTCCACTACTAATGCAGCAGCAGCAGTTCTTCTCATTGCTCTTAATAATGAGCAAACCCTTGCAAATCTCAACTCCAGTTGAACTTTGGCTTTCCTAACCCCATATGCACGTGCCCAGGCCTAAAGCCCTCCCTTACAGACCGTCCCTGCTTCTACTTCCTGTATACTGCATTTTCACATTACATCACCAGCAATGAAACTGCTGGCATGTTTACCCTTTACTGTGGCAGGAGGCAAGCTGGTACTGAATACTGGATCTCGCTCCTGGACCCAGACTTCTGCTTTCCCCCTTTTTTTTTTTTTTTTAAATCATGGACCTCTGAAAGCTGTCTACAAACAGTACCTTGAAGCTTCCCTCCCTCCCTGCCAGCAACATCTTCTGTACCTCACAGCCATGTGAGCAATTTTGTATAAAGCTGAAGGGTTATGCGGGTTTGGTACAACTGGATTTGAAGCAGCTTCTCTGTAGAACTTACTACTTAAAGTAAAATTCAGCATCAGTTCTCTACAAAAGAAGATAGTAATCAGGCTATCGAACATGCTGTGACAATCATGACAAATGTTATCCTTTCACCCTTTATCTGGGTTTCTTTTTTATATTCACACCATCATTTAATTTATGTTTAGGCTGAGTGCTCCCTGGAGGGCAGACCAGGCTTTTACTTTGCCTGCACAACGACCTACTCTGACTGGTCATGGACCAGGACCAAGGTCACAACAGATAGTGCACATGTATGGTTATACAAATACTAAACGATAATATATCATCTCAATTTTCTGTCTGAGCATCTTTTAGTTGCTCAATCCACACCCTTGCAAATTATGTCTCCAATAGGCAAATTATCTCCCCAAGAGAAGACAACGTGGACTCAATGGTGAAAGATGACCAAAATATTCAAGTGGCAAGGAGAAGCATGAAAGAAAAGAACAAAGTTGTACGAAATAAAGACTCAAGGACAATGTGCTTAATCAGAAAGGTAAGAGAGTAAACAAAAGTAAAGGATAATAAAGGAACATCAAATAGTACTATTAGTGGTAGGAAATCAAAGGAATGAGATTATGATAAGTAGGCTTATGATACAGAAAGGCTGACCATACTAGTAAATATTTAAGGTCAATACAGAGACTCAGATTGAGATTCTCAGGCGAATGATTTTAGAAATTCCATGTTAAATAAATGCACCCAGAATCCTCAAGGCCACCAGAAAGATACTGCAGTTGTAAGCTATAGTCTTGTCACCTTTTCCTTGACAACTTCTGCAAACAAGGGAACTAAACAGGACTATGGAGTGACATGCTCTCCATTTCAGGAACGTGGTCAAAGGGAGGGCTCAAGGCTCCACAAAGCAGCATCATTCCTCCAGTTCTCTGAGATCTACCCTGGTCATAACCAAGTTAAAATACATTACTTAAGTTTTAATCCCTCAACAATTGCAATCAGAATAGGTTGCTGTTTGCTACAAGCACAGAAGAAGGGAAGTGCATGCAAGACGGAGGAGAAAGTCAATTTTGAACTCAGAGTAACGTGTAAGGATGAGCAGAATTACTATCCCTTTTACCCACAGATGACCTCCTGCATAATTAACTGTCATGGTTAATTTGCCATTTTCAGTTTCTCTCTGCGTTATCTTAGCATGAGCATCACAGTTGCTGTTTGCTACAAGCACAGAAGAAGGGAAGTGCATGCAAGACGGAGGAGAAAGTCAATTTTGAACTCAGAGTAACGTGTAAGGATGAGCAGAATTACTATCCCTTTTACCCACAGATGACCTCCTGCATAATTAACTGTCATGGTTAATTTGCCATTTTCAGTTTCTCTCTGCGTTATCTTAGCATGAGCATCACAGCAGAAATTTTACTTTTTGCACCTTCAAACGCCGTTTCCCATTGATTCTTGCCGCACACAGCAAGAAAGCTGAAGCGAGAAGGGGGGCACAAGCCCCTCCCCAGCGCCACGGCAGCAGGGCACGGCCCATTTCCAGGCGCC